TTGACGACTCGCACCGCCGATTGGGGCACCTTGGATTTCAAAGGCCTGGTGGCGCCTCGAGGTCTCCAGCTTACGCGGTGTGGTTCGCAGTTTAGTGTTTGACGACGGCGGCGCTGTTCTCCCGCATTGGCATGCGCTTCGTCGGAGGCGCGGTGAGATTCGTCGAAGAGGTCGATGTCACAGGTGGGCCCGGACTCGGGTGTCTTCGGCTTCTGAGCTGCGTTTGAGGCCAGTTGCGTAGTCGCCATTTTCGCTGTTCGTTCGCCTCCCGCGCTCGGCCTCGGCTCGGGCCCTGTGCAATTTAGCTTGCCACTTCGGGCCAGCTGCCCGCCGCCCCGCTTGCATTTTTCGGCGCGCGCCCGCTGTTGTGCCTGGCTTCGGTCCTGGCCGTGTTGTAGGCCTGGCCTTCGTGCGACGCCGCGACGCCGCGCGGCTGTCCGCTCGCGGTTGCGAACAACAAAAATCCCCACCAGAGTTCTACAACGGGTCTTGCGGCCCCCTACGTCTGGCGCTCACCCCGCGCACGAGAGACGGCTGGCAGCGACGCGCTCTGACGCCAGCGACGTTTGCCGGCCTGGCGGCGACCCGCGCTGCGACTTTTCCGCCCGCTGTTCGCTGCTTCGCGGTCGACGAGCACATGCGCGACGTCTGTCTTGGGTCGCCTATCTGGACCCGGGCGCGGTTTAATTCATTTATTATTTTGGTGTGCATTGAGGCCCCTTTTCTGGACCTCGGCTTGGCGGGGACTTCCCGGGCTACTCCGTCGTCTTCGCCGCCTGAGTGACTGCGTTGCGCGCGGCGGTCGATTTGGGCTCCCCCCCTTTTAGGCCGTGTCGAGCTTGGCGCGGTTGCCTCTTCTCTTGACGGCGCGCGGTTGGACCGCGACGCTCGCGAAAGACAAAAATCCCCGCCAGACATTTGAACGCGGACCGGGCGCACCTCCTGGTCTATGATGGGATTGGCGTTCCACGTGGGCCTGATCCTCAGCGTCCTCTTCGCCTACTGAGTCGCAGCGTAAGTCGCTCCTGCGCGCTTGGTGCCTAATGTAGATCGTTGCCCTGTTGCTTCGCTCTTGGCGGCGCGCGGTTGTGCCGCGTCGCTTGCGGATTAAAAAGGTGCCCCCGCCAGCCGGCCAGCGCCGCGGTGAACAGTGGCACGTGCTGACGGATACGACAAAGTTTTACCATGCCACGCCCACCGAGACGAGCCCTTATACGGCTTGTACGAACGGCACCAGCAGCGCGACGGCCAGCTCGAGGCGCCTCTGTATCCTCCACCACCTTAACTCCCAGTGCTCGTTGTCCAGCAGTACCTCTCAGATGACCAGCAGTGCGACCTCCGGCAGCACGGTCGCGACCGATGCGGTCTCGAGTAGTGCGACGTCCACGGCCACTTCCACGGTGGGCTCCACGACGACATCGAGCATAGTACGAGCGGCACCAGGCGGCCTGCTCGAGCGTGACGAACAGCACGACTGCACCGTCCACCACCTTGGCTTCAGTGAGCAGGTGTCTAGCAGTGCGCCTCAGACGACCAGCAGGACGACCTCGAGCAGCAGGGTCACGACCAGACTGCCCCGAGCAGTGCCACGGCCACGGCCGCCTCCACGGTGAGATCCACGACGATGCTGAGCAGCAGCTCGAGCGTGGTCGTGGCGAGCCGCGGGACGTCGAGCAATGCGACTCGAGTGCGACGCAGTCGAGCAGCACCACGCCGGCCAGCATTACGGCGAGCAGCGGCACGACGCTGACGGATACGGCAGGGCCATGCAATACCACGCTGCCCCGGACGAGGTCCTCGGCGGCTAGTGCCAGCGGCTCCAGCAACGCGACGGCCAGCTCGAGGGTGACCTACCGCGCAACTGGCTTGTCCACCACCTTGTCCACCACCCTGTCCCCTCCGCTGGCGGCCGCCCTGGTGGCCGCCCTGGCTTCGCGCCCAATGCCACCCAGCGAGCACCCAGCTGGGGGCGCTGGTTCTCCTCTGGCCCCCCAGCTCGCCCTCGCTACGGACTGCCTGCGGCCCCGCGCCCTCTGGCACAGGGTCGCCCTCCCCCCCCCCGCGCCCGCCCTAGGCGCTGCGCCGGGGTCCCCCGGCCCCCTCCACAGTCTCCCGCCATTGCCTTCGTTCCACCGCCGCGGCTGTCAGTCGCCTCCCTTCGACTCCCACTACCGACCGCGCGGCTGTCAGCCGCCGCCCCCCCCCCCCCCCCCCCGCCCCGCGCGGCTGTCCGCCGCCGCCCCCCCCCCCCCCCGCCGCGGCCCGCGCTGCGGCCGCCGCGGCCTCGTGCCTAATGCCCGCGCCCCGCGTCGTAGCCGCTGCGGCCTCGCGCGTAATCCCGCCCCGCCGTTTGTGTGCCCCGGCCTCTCGCGACGCGCCCTCGGCGCCATGTTGCCCGCCCCCGACGCCCGTTCCCGCGTCGCCGCGGGTGCCCGAGGTCCCACCGTCGGCCTGGCGCGAGACCGGCGGGCAGGTTGGGGCTCGGTTGCCGGGGCTTCGCGGGCCCCTCCCATGTGCGCCGCTGCTCCGCAGCGCGCCCGCCGCGGGGCGCGCCGCGCAGCCTCCTGCATCACTCTGCTGCCGCTGGTGCCCCCCCTGGTCTTCGACGACTCCGCGGGTCGTCGCAGCCGGCGCCGGCTGCGCCGCTCTGGCGCGCGTGGCCTCCCCCCTGCCGCGGCCCGCCACGCGGCCGCTACGGCCCCGCGCCTAATGCCGCCTCGCCGCTTGTGTGCGCGGGCCCCTCGCGACGTTGCGCCCTCGTCGCCGCGTTGCCCGCCCCCGACGCTCGCCCCCGCGCCGCCGCGGGCACCCTTGGCCCCACTTTTGGCCCTGCGCCAGACCGCCGGGCAGGCTGCTGGGGCTTGTTTGCCGGGGCTTTGCGTGCCGCGCCCGCGGGCCGCGCTGCTCCTCAGCGCACCCGCCGCGGGCCTCGTCGCGTAGCCTCGTCATCGCTCTGCTGCCGCCGGTAGCCCCCCCCCCTGTCTTCGACGACTCCTCGGGTCGTTGCAGCCGGCCCCGCTCTGGCGCGCGTGGCCTCTGGGTTCCCTCAGCCCCTCGCGCCTTCGCCTCCGTCTGGCTGGGGTGCCTCCCTCTCCCTCGCCCGGCCGCTCTGGTCGCTCTGGGGGCGGCGCGCCTGGCCGCCCATTCGGGGCGCCCCCGGCCGCTCGGGCCTGCCGCCCGCCCGCGGTCGCCGCTCCCGCCCGTTTGGGGTCGACAGACGCCCTGTCCCCCCCCGCGCCGGTCTGGGCGTCCTTATCCATTGGTTCTGCGACGCCGCGTAACGTCGGGTACGGTCTCCTGGCGCCTCGCCGCCTTGCTGTCAGCGCTTTGCTTGGCGTCGTCACTGCCCCTTCGTCGCGGCCTCCGCCGCCGCGCCCCCCCTTCGCGCGGACGTCCGCCATCTTCGCGCACGCGGTCTCGCGGCCGCCCTTCGGCGACCCGGAGTCTTCCGCGGTGCGCCTGCACGTCGCCTTCGTCGCCCTCGACTACGCGATGGTGGTCATCGGGTATAAGGGCTTGACCTTCTTCGCCATTTTGGCGCTGCGCGCGGACCTGGTGCACTTCCTGGTCTTTCTTTGTCGGCGTCGGCGTCCCGCGTGGACCAGATCCTCAGCGTCCTCTTCGCCTACTGAGCCGCAGCGTAGTTCGCTCCAGCGCGTTTGGGGCCTGAGTAAGATCGTGGCTCTGTAGCTTCGCTCTTTGACGGCGTGTGGCTGCTCCGTATCGCTCGCGAACAAAGAAGTACCCCCTCCAGCCCAGCCAGAAACGATCAGCAGTGGAGTTGGTGAATCAGGGGCGACAGGGCGCACGCAGTCGCGTAGCCGTCTTCGGGAAAACAAGGATCACGCATAGCTTCCCTTATTAAAGTTTAAGATGGGAATCGGTGCAAGCTTCGATGGTGCTTCGAGGAGAGGTGAGGGGTGTTTCGATGACTCGTAATGGTTGTTGCGCCGATTTGTATCTTAAGCTCGTGTGCGTTGCGAAACTTGGAGCCATCTTGGGGCACTCTTGAGGTTCTCTTGGGGCCCTTTTGGGCCGGGGCCCTCCTGGGGCTCTTTCTTGGGGCTTTCTTGGGGTCCTCTTAGGGCCTTCTTGGAACCCTCCTGGGACTCTTTTGGGTCGTCGTGGGGCCCAATCGGAGCTCTCTTGGGGGGTCGGGAGGCCTCCTTGAGGCTCTTCTGGGATGCCTGAGGGGCTTCTTGGGGCCGTCTTGGACCCTTTCGCTAAAAGAAGAGAGGGGGTCCTCAATTCGGACCCACCCATCGGAGGCTCAGAAATGCCGTCCTGGGCCCTCTAGGCCCGCTCTTGGAGCGTTCTTGGGCGCTCTTGGGGCCGTCTTAGGGCCCTTTTGGGCCTCTCTTGGGGCTATCTTGGACCGTCTTAGGGCCATCTTGAGGCTTCAAAAGCCCATCGGAGGCGAAACAGCGAGAAGGCACACAACATGAGTGTTCCGTCGGTTTTTGAAGGATTCTGGCCTCTTGGGGGGTTCCTCGGAAGCCCTCGGACAGCACTTGAAACCGTCTTGGGGCCGTCCTGAGGCCTCTTGGACGTGTGTCGGAGGCTATCTGGACCCATCTACCGCTATCTTGGGCCATGTTGGAGGCCATCCTGCGCTTTCTGAGGCCCTCTTTGCTCAGGCCATCTTGGGCGCTGCCATGGGTCGGCCCCCCCCCGTCCAAACGCATGGGGTGGGGGGAAGAGGGAAACCTCCCAAGCAGGGAAGGGAAGGAGGTTTGAAAAAGGAAACACCCTAGACCACCTGCGCCCATAGGGCTGGTGGGATTAATATGATGATGGTTGTGGTGGTGATGGTAATCGTGATGGTGAGGGTAAATGAGACTGAGCTCATGTCGTGACAGATGAATGAATGAATGAACGTATGACAGTATGGACGGATGTATGGATGAATGAACGGATGAACGGCTGGCAGGACAAATGAACGGATGAACGGGTGGATGGATGATTGACAGGATGGATGGGGACCGCGCTCCGGGCGACAGGACGCTGGCCACCGTCCCTGCCGCACCGCAGGTGGGCACGCGACGCCGTGTGTACTGCCGCGCGGCCGCTCCCTCCACTGCGGCTGCTGCTGGTGAGGAGGAGGAGGAGGAGGAGGAGGAGGGCGATGATGATCACGAGGATGATGATGATGATGATGATGATGATGATGATGATGATGATGATGATGATGGTGGTGGTGGTGGTGGTGGTGGTGGTGGTGGTGATGATGATGATGATGATGAGGATGAGGATGAGGATGAGGATGAGGATGAGGATGAGGATGATGATGATGATGATGATGATGATGATGATGATGATGATGATGATGATGATGATGATGATGATGATGATGATGATGATGATGACGGTGATGATGATGATGGTGATGATGATGATGATGATGATGATGCTGATGATGATGATGATGACGGTGATGATGATGAGGAGGAGGAGGACGGTGATGACCATGGGGTGGAGGACGATGATGATGGTGGTGGCAGTGGAGACGACGACGAGGACGACGACGACGAGGAAGACGATGACGATGATGACGTTGACGACGACGATGACGATGACGATAACGATGATGATGCTGCTGCTGCTGCTGCTGCTGCTGATGATGATGATGATGATGATGATGATGATAAGGATGAACGATGATGGTAATGATGATGGTGATGGTGAGGATGATACTGATGCTGATGCTGAGGGTGATGCTGATGCTGATGCTTCTGTTGCTGCTGTTAGATCATGATGGTGGTGATCACGCCGTTCTCCTCCGTCTCCTCCTCCTCCTCCTCCATCGGCACCTCCGTCGCTAGCCTGACCCATTTGGAATGATTACTGCCGCGCCCCCTTCCGCCCCCCTTCGAAAACCTGCTTCGTCATTCTCGTCGTCCTGCTCTTCCTCGTCCTCCGTCCCTCCCTCCCTCCCTCCCCTCCCTTCCTGCCTCCTCTTGGCACAGGACTAGTCACAGATGGCTAACATGCGCCTCTGTGTAGATGCTCAACATCGTGATCGAGATCACTACCCGGGCAGCCAGACCATCGTGGCATTTGTTTGAGTCAACAGCCACATTCCCATGCAGCTGTGGATCAGTGGATCCCCCGAGCACTCCAAGACAAGGAGTCATATCGGAATGTCGCTGGAATCGGTACCAGCTGATCCTCACGCCCCACAGCTGACGGCGGTAATGCTGCGCCTCTCATGTCCGGTCGTTCACGGCCATTTTCTGCTGAAGCGCCGGCGCTATACGCCACCTCGACCTCTTTCATTGAGCTGTCCTCCATGGGAACGCGGTGGTTGACTCGGATGCTGGAGATATGTTCATTGGGCCAAATTTTGCTGGACCCCTCCGTGCAGATCTCGGCTTCGTCGACATCGGCGAGGCCGTGAGCATCCCGTCGCACACCTCCCGAGCGCAGGTGGCGGCCACCACGAGGCCGAGAGGGCCCTCCACGTGGAGCAGTAGGTCCTTTCGTGCTGCCTTCCTTCTCGCGTGTGAGAACGAGGCGCACGTAGATTCAGTTGGCGCGTTCGTGCTGTTAGCTGTCGGTGTTCGTGATTTCGTGCGGTTCCCAGCGGTCAACAGTTCCAGGTCGAGTCGGCGACACCTGCCAGCGCTGGACCCTGTGAGCCCCCCCAGACGTATGCTCTCAGCCTGACGCCAGGCGGATCGGCCGGTAGGGGCGAGATCAAGAGTGCTTGCTGCGATGCGCAGGGGCGGATACGGTAGTTTCCAGGTGCCCATCCCGCTTGCTTGTTGTGGCAGGGCCCCGCTCGCTTTTGTCAGTCAGAATTCCAGGCGTTTCCAGTTCCCGAGGTGCCATCAGTTCTGCGTGTCACGACTGCTCGCGGGGTATCTTGCTGTTGTATGTCTTCATGAGCGCTTCCAAGTAACTTTGTATTTTGTCCAGATTGCCCGCCGTTGTGGGTCGCATCCCGTTTCCTAACTATTCAGTCTGCATGCTTCCCAGCTTGCCGAGTGATGTCAAACGCACTTGCTCTTTGTGAATTAATATAAGTTGCAGGTGCCTAGTGTGCTTTCATGTATGTGAATTACATTGTCCAATCTGACCTGTGCCTGATTCTGGCTATCCGTTCACCGTTCCCTCGTCCTAGCTCTTGGTTCGATTTGTGCAGGTATATGAGCCTGCAGATGTTTCTCTGGTCGCTGCGTACGCCACAGATCCCCCGCAGTCGTATCAGGACGGCCTCATGACGGGCCGATTTGCATAATACATCGGTGCGATACTCGCAGTATTCCATAACAGTTATGGATTCGCCGATCTCAGCCTTGGCGCCTTGAAGCAGCCCTCCCCTCCCCTCCCCCTCTCGCACCTCCTCGTCGATCTCCTCCCTCCTCCCTACCCTCCTCCTCCCCCTTCCTCCTCCTGCTCCTCCTCCTTCTCCCGCTCCTCCTTCCTCCTCCTCCTCCTCCTCCTCCTCCTCGTCCTCCTCCTCCTCCTCCTCCTCCTCCTCGTCCTCCTCGTCCTCCTCCTCTTCCTCCTCCTCTTACTCCTCCTCCTCACCCTTCTTCCTTGTTCTCCTCTCCTCCTCCTCCTCCTCCTCCTCCTCCCCCTCCTCCTCCTCGTCCTCCTCGTTCTCCTCCCTCACCTCCTCCTCCTCCTCCTCCTCCTCCTCCTCCTCCTCTCCTCCTCCCTCCTCCTTCCCCGAGCAGGCGGCGGTCAGCCTGCTTGCCGGCGGCCTCTGCAGCCCCTCCGAGGAGCTTTCTTGCCGCCGCCGTCGTCGTTGCTCGGCCGCTGTCGTCGCCGTGCTTTTTCTCGGCCGCCGTCGTTCCGCAGTCGTTGGACCGTCGTTTTCCCATCGTGGTCGTCGCCGCCGTCCTTCCGCCGTTGCCCTCGTCCTCGTTCGGCCGTTGCTGTTCCGTCGTTGTCGTCGTCGTCGTCGTCGTCGTTGTCGTTGTCGTCGTCGTCGTCGTCGTCTTCATCGTTGTCGTCGTCGTCGTTCGTCGTCGTCGCCGCCGTCGCCGCCGCCGTCGCCGCCGCCGTTGCCGTCGCCGTCGCCGTCGCCGTCGCCGTCGCCGTCGCCGTGGCCGTCGTCGTTGCCGCCGCCGCCGCCGCTGTCGTCGTCGTCGTCGTCGTCGTCGTCGTCGTCGCCGTCGTTGTCGTCGTCGTCGTCGTCGTCGTCGTCGTCGTCTTCATCGTCGTCGTCGTCGTCGTCGTCAACGTCATCATCGTCGTCGTCGTCGTCGTCGTCGTCGCCGCCGTCGCCGCCGCCATCGCCGCCGCCGTCGCCGTCGCCGTCGCCGTCGCCGTCGCCGTCGCCGTCGCCGTGGCCGTCGTCGTTGCCGCCGCCGCCGCCGCCGCCGCCGCCACCGTCGTCGTCGTCGTCGCCGCCGTCGTCGTCGTCGTCGTCGTCGTCGTCGTCGTCGTCGTCGTCGTCGTCGTCCTTCTCCTCCTCCTCGTCCCCCCCCTCCCCCCCCTCATAACCGTGGCGCGGCAAGTCGGGCGGGCTTTGTGCCCTTATTTGCCAGACTTTCTGAGCCGGCCAAAAAGTGGTAGGTAACATTGCCAGGCAGGTGGGTAGGTGGTGTGGAACACTCTCATGCAGCATGGGTAGGTCGGTAGCAGGTAGATTCTTCCCCTTCCTCCTCGTCTAGAGGTTTCGCCTGCGCGAGCGGAATGTGCAGGGCGGCAAGAGCCGCACAGGCGCCTGGCCAGACTGCGGGTGGGCATACGAGGTCTGTGTCACGGGAAAAATGTGGGCTCCTTCTCCCACTCTCCTTCCTCTAATTGGGTCCTCTTGTCTTTTGGTGCGCATGTTCAGGCCTAATGCTTGTGCCTTGAGGTGGGGGTTCGGGGGCGAACCGAGATGGAGAGTTATACTTTCTTTTTCCAGGGGCCGCCCACTGTAATTTTGCTCCAACCCCCGCTCTGGCCCCCACCCTGCGAGCGACCCATCAAGAGGCCTCGACGACGACGACGACGACCCGTGAGGCACCGAGATGGGCTCCAAGAAACATCAAGATTGTGTGCAGAGGCCCCCCCTGGATTTTTTGCGTTGGGCTTGCGCTGGCTCTGCGAAGGCAGCTCGCCACCTCAAGGTGGTGCCAGAACGCCCCGAGAGGGCTGCAATGCCCCCACGCTGGGCCGCAGTGCAGCGGGGACCCATGCCAAGAAACACCCTGCTTGCCTCCAGGGTGCCCTGGGTTTCTTGGGGTTCGATGTTTTTGCAATGAAGACGTGATGTTTCCACACCAAAATCCATGGACGTCCTGCGGTCTCAGGGTTGGGTTTCTTGTGGAAGGTTTCTTGTGGGCTGGCCTCCACTATATGCCCGAAGTGGCCCGACCCAATAGGGCCCAAAAAGGCCCCGAGAAGGCCCTAGGAAGGCCCCCCAAAACCGCCTCTCCTCCTCGCCCTCCTCGTTTTGTGTTTCGCCGGTCCGTCGTGCAAAGGTAGGGGCAAGCGTGCCAGTTTGAATTTCGTTCTATCCTGTTTTTGTAGGTCTTTCGCCTTCCCCCCTTCTTTCGCCCCCAGGTGCCGTTCTCGCCCCTCATTCTCCCAGTCCTCGCCGAGTGACTAACACTCCTGCGCTCTGTGCTGCTGCTGCTGCTGTTGATGCAGCTCCGCGCGCCGCCGCCCTGCCCCGCCACGTGCCGTCTGGCACAGTGGGCGGGCGACTCTACGCTCACGGGTGTAGTGCGCGAGGAACGAGCAGCGAGCGGCGGAGGAGGACGGGGCGATGCTGCCCCCCCGGGGCAAAGACGACAACGATGGGGAGCAGGTCCTCCCCCCCTGCTCCTCCTCCTCCTCCTCCTCCTCCTCCTCCTGCTCCTGCTCCTCCTCCCCGTAACCATTGTGGCTCAAGTTCGAAACCTTGCCGCGAGGCTTCGAGCTTGTCCGCAGCCGTGCGGCTGGCTCGGGTTTTTTTTTGGCGTGTGATCCAGGCCTTGCGCCAGGAAAGCCATCGATTGCAACGACGGCACCTTGGGTGCTGCTTCTGTTTCTCCCTCTCCCTCTCGCGCCATGGCCTAGCGCGATCGTGCCCCGTGGCGTTGCGGGCGGCGCGGCGCTGGCTGGGGGCGTGGCGGCAACAAGCAGGTCGCCAAGTATGCCTCCCTCGCCTACGACGTGTGCTCGGCCTGCCACCACTGGGACTTCAAGTGCCACGGGAACTTGTGCTGTTCTCGATGTGGTGGTTCCTATCTCGGTCGTGCTCAGGGAGACGGCGGTCAACTTCCTTGTTCACAGGCTGGAAGAGGCGGGGCACGAGTGCCCGATGGTGACCCTGATGTGCGTGCTGCGACAGCCGTGCTACTTGCCGCCCGTCCCGAACTACAAGAAGTGCTTGGCGCGATGCTTCCTCGACCCCGCGTCCCAGATGAAGAATGGACGGGAACTCAGTTTGTGGACGCCGTTCGGCGTGAACATACCCGTCTTACTAAGGAGGTGGAATGCGCCGCCAAGCAGGTACGGCTGGTTTCCCAGGGGGTCTACCACCGTGCCAACAAGGTCCAGAAGTTGGAGGATGGCCCACGCGAAGCTCGAGGATATCACCAGCAGGCGGAGGTCGAACAACGTGAAACTGAAGATCTCAAGCGTGCTGCCGATGAAGCTGTTCGACTCTTCGATCAACCTGCGTGGATCGCCACCAAGCGCCATGAGAGGGCGCAGGCGGCGGCGCAGGCCAGGGCGGCGGCAGCCGCCTGCGCGGCCCCCGTGCAGGCCCCCGCTGCGGCGGGCGCTGGCGCGCAGGCGGCGCCTGCGGGCGCGCAACGCGCTCATGGGGCGGGCGGCGCAGGCGGCGCCGCAGGTGCCCCTCCCAGGCCAGGCGGCGCCGACGCAGGCGGGCAGAGGCGCATGGATGTGGATGTGCCAGATTTCGCTCGCATGGGCGAGGCCCAATTGCGTGCGTATTGCCAGAGCAACGGCCTTCCCTTCGGCCTGGTCGTCAAGTTCGCGGATATGCATCGGCAGGTCTACGACGCCCAGTCCGACGCGGGCAGTGATGCTGGGTCGGACGCGGGTGGCCTCCTTCAAGAACGCGCTGATGAACTCGCGGCGCTCAAGAAGCGGTCTCTCGAAGGTCCCCTGGGTGATGCTGACCGTGCTCGATTGGGGGATCTCATCTCGGAGCGTGCTCGTGTCAAGTCTGCCAAACGGCTAAGGCGAGTCCAGGCCGAGGTGGTTGCAGGTTTCAACCAGCTCTTCAAGGGGGCTGTCGCTCAGATCCCGCCGCGATGGTAGTGCGAGTGAGGCTGGCTTGAGAGTTTTTGTTGTAACATCACTAGCTGGAGTGCTCTGGCTAAGAGTTTAGTTGCGCAGTTGCTTTCCACGGCTGACGCCTTCCTGTTCGCCGAACACCGCCAGCTCCCCGCCGACTTGAAGTCCGCTAAGCGTGACGTGGCCACCGCTGGGTGGCGTCCCCACTTCCTCCCTGCCTCGCCCTCCTCTGGGGGAGGGGGGGGGGGGGGGGCGCCCGCGGGGGTGTCGGGGCCGCTGTGTGTGAGGGTTTGTAGTTCAAGCGTTTCTTGGCCCATGCGGGCCAGGCGTGTGATCTAGGATCTGGCAATGGCTGGGTGTTCCTGGAGCTTCGGACCCAATCCTGCGCGATGGCCGTAGGGGTGGTATATATGGCTGCTCGCCGGGGGTCTATGGGGAGAATAGCGTGATGAAGATGAAACAGATTTCAGCCTTCCTTAACACCCTGAGAATTCCATGGTTCCTTGTCGGGGACTATAGCATCAGCCTGGATCATATTTCTGTCTGCGGCTTCCTGAAATTTGTTCGCGGCAAGGCCCTGGCGCCAGAGGGTGTCCAATTTTCTTGCAGCAGTGGCGGGGGTTCTCTTATCGACTACGTGATGATCGCCAGTGAACACGTCGGCGCCCTACATGCAGGTGTCTAAAGTTGCGGAGCCACAGTTTACAACGCATTGCTGCTTAGAAGTCCGACTCCCGCGTGCTGCGCTCAAGCAGGAGATGTCAAAGCGTGTTCGACGCAGAGATGTCCATGTCTGTGAAGGGCCAGCCACGCCGTGGGAACATCATTTTAAGCCGGAGATTGCCGAATGGTCCCCACCTTCAAGACGGGAAATGCCGCTGATCCCGCATGTGTATGCTCACCTCTCTGATGAGCTTACCTCGTCCTATCTACTTTTGTCTCGTACCTAGGAGCGTATGAAGAGGTCTACCATGGTGGAGGAGGAGGTCAGTCGTCATGGAGGTCGGGGAGATGTCGTCAGTTTCCGTCCCTCTTCTTTAACTGACCATGCACAGCGTAGTGGGTGTTACTTGCAGCCCTTGCTTGCGTTCTGGTCTACGGCGTCGCAGAAGTTTTGCGAGCTGCGAGTGGCCGCCACGCGAGGCTACGTGTCCATGCGGGCAGCTATTTCCCAGCAGCTGAGAGATATAGCTCACAGTGTACAGTGGCATAGTGAATCCCTTCCTGCTGACCAGCTGGTTCGCCAGTTGCAGGCTCAGCTTCTTGATGTGAAATCATTGGATCTTCACCGGTGTCAGGACATGATCGATGATTTTCTGGTGCCCTCTCTAACGTCTGGCAATCCGCGCGCGCTGCGACAGCTAAGGCGATCAGGGATTTGTTTTTTAAAGGCGTTGCCAAGGGGTGCTTCCAAAGCTTACAAATGGCTTACACGGGATGAGCAGGAAGGATTTGAATTCTTTCTAGCTCCTGGAGGGGTCCTCCAGCTTCTCCCGGAGATGATGTTGTTTCGTGAAAATATTCGGGGGTTTGGTCTTTGAGTGCCAGCCCCATTCAGATTGGGTAGCTTTGTGAGGCGCTGGGAGATCTCTGTGTTGCTGCCTTTGATTTTCAGCCCGAGGTCCCCGAGATTGAAGCTAAAGACCTGTTTGCGGCTGCGGAGGTTTTTTTTTTTTTTTTTTTTTTTTTGTTTTTCCGGAAAGCACCGCTGTGGGGGTCGATGGTTGGCGACCTAGGGAGTTCTTGGGCCTGGGCCGTGGTGCCGCTGATGCTCTCGTCGGGCCCCTGAATGGTTGCGAGGCCAACGTGATGTGGCCTGCTCGAAGCCCCCTGGGGATCATATGTCTGCTCCCGAAGAATCGCGCCGATGAGAGACCTGTCTGTGAATGCCCCACCCTCTACCGCGTCTATTGTAACATCAGAGGTGACTTCCTGGCTTCCTGGGGCCAGCAGCACATGGATTTCTAGGGCGACGCCATCAAAAGGCAGTTCTGTCCTTCAGGCTGCGCTTCGCCGAGAGCTTTCCCATGAGCTGGCTGCCTTCGAGGGCGTCTCCAGTATGGCGGTCCACTATGATAGGAAGAAAATATTTGACACTGTCGTTCCTGCTAGGCTCGTGCGCCTCGCATGTGCGCTTCGCTTTCCGCCGCATTTGCTGTGCGTGGGCCTGTTGGTCCACGCCGCTCCCAGAGTCCTCGAGAGCAATGGGTTCTGCTCCCAGGTGATTCCTGCGGGTATTGGCGTCCTCCCGGATTGTATGCAAAGTATGTCCGGGGTGAAAATCTACCTCTACCAGTTGTTGTCGGCTCTGCATAACAGGTACTTCTTTGATGAACCCAGGGTTGCTACACGTTCCTATGTTGAGGATCTGCCCTAGATTTGCCAGGGAGACGAGATGCACGTTCGGAGCCAGATCATTGCTGCTGCTGTGCAGTTCGGACATGCAGGCGGCCGAGCTGGTCCTCTCGACCGAGTCGGCAGTCGTTGTTAACCTGCGCTCTCTTGGGCACATGGTGGCCAGTGATTTGAAAGCAGCTGGCCTTCCCGTGCGTCCTTATGACGTTGTCCGTGACTTGGGCACGGCTACTGCTGCTGGGCGGAGGAGGTCTACTGCTATCATCAAGAACCGAAGGAGGAAGGCAACTGCACGGTGCACAAAGGTTAGGTACCTGTCGGGGCTAGTCAAGAAGTCTGCCAAATTCTATAAGCCAGGCGAGCTCGCCGTAGGCACCTGGGGCCACGCTGTCGCTGGCTTTTCAGGTGCTCAGGTGCAGAGCGTGCGAGGTCAAGCTGCCGTCTGCTCTGGCCATGGGCATGCAGGTGCTTGCACGACTACGAGTTTGACCATTTTTGGTGATGAGCAGGGTGCCCCTATTTTTAGGCTCCGTCGTGAACGGCTTTCTGGATTTATGTGTCTTTGGAGGTCTTTGAATGATCATGATCAGTTTCGTGTCTCTCAGGTTTGGAAGGCCCAGTTTTAAGAGTTTACGTCCGTTCCCAGGAACCAGATCTGGAGGCGTGTTCGAGGGCCTGCGTCGTCGACGGTCGTCATCCCTCTCGATCTTGGATGGCGCCCTGAATCCCCAGCTCATTGGCAAGACCAACTTGGAGAGGGTCTTGATTTGGATGCTCGTGATTTTCCGGTGTCTCTTCGGCGCGCGCTGCGGGGCACCTGTCGTGAATGGCGTCTGGAGTCAGGCTGCCAGACGTTATTTTGGTCACGGGACGGCGGCTGGGGTGGATTTCACCGCCCTCAAGAGGGAGCTCTCCAGGCTTAGTAAAGACCTTCACCAGGAGGGGCAGGCGTTGCTTTGGAATCTCTGTTCCGCGGGTTTCTGGGCAGACCAGAGGCTCCATGACGAGGGGTATCTTACTTGTGATAATGGTATTTGCCCAAGGTGTGGAGGTGCCCTTGAGACCCCTTTCCACAAGTTTTGGGAACGTCTTGCGAATGCTGCCATCTCTGGCCCCGTCGTTGAGCGTGCTGCTCATCTTTGTGAGCAGGCTGTACGAGAGGTCGACTGTCCTGCACTTTGGTGCCGCGGCCTTATGCCGCTGGACAGGACGATTGGCGATCTCCCGATCGCGGTTGAATCTCTTGTTGGATGGGGATCGTTCGAGGGGCTGCCTGTCCGCGAAGGGGGCGTTTGGGGCATCGGCGGATCCGGGGGGCGTTACGCTAAGGATGACAGATTAGGGGGTTGTGGCCGGGCCTGTGTCCGCTTAGGTGCTACTCTAGACTCTAGTGACGGGGGGGTTGGGCGAGCTCTTGGGGGTCGTGAACAGGCGGGGCCACGGGCTGAGCTCCTTGCTTTGATTTACCTCTGTAAGTATACTGTTTGACGTATTTTAGTGGTATACCTGTTGTTCGTGCCTTTCGGCGTCCGCGGGAGTGGTTGGCTAAGTCCGACATGCTTGACCTGTGGGTTCGTCTGCGGGCTGTCCTTGACGTTAGGGGTGAAGGAGAGATTGGCCCCAAATGGACCAAGATGCACCTCGCGGGCCCCCAGGTCGGCTCTCTGCGTTTAACGTCGATCGAACGGCTCCTGAATGGGGCCGCAGACGCTTGTTCTGGATAAGTGGTTGCGGGAGCAGCTGTTCCCCCAGAGCTAGCGGCCATCCCTTTAGAGCAGGACAAGTTGGGTCTCTTTGTTCTGCGCGGGCTCCTTGCCGTCCAACGTGAAGTTGTGGTTCAGTGCCCGCGCGAGCGTACTCGGCACGTGCGTGTTGGACATGAGCGCGTGCGCGCGCGTGTGGGTGCTACGAGTGCGCAGATCCGTCTGGGACGGTTGATGGAGCAGGGCCATTCTCCCGTCCCCAGGCGGACCCTTTTTCGGTGTAGTATTTGCGAGCTGCGTTTCGCTTTGAAGGGTCCGCTCTCGGCGTGTTGGCCTGGGACTTGTAATGGTCGGCGGTTCGCCCGCTTCCGCGTAGCTCGTGAGGTCGAGGGTCCTGCCGCGGTGGGTCCTGGGGCCGAGCCGTGCGGTCCCGCTGCGCATCCGCTGGCCATCCAGTGCCACGATACCCATTCCTTTATCCGAGCAGAACGGGGTGCTGTTTTGCACCGTTTGTGGAAGTTTTGCCGTGGTGAATGCGCGGAATTAGAGGAAACAATGTGAGCCCCCGACCCAGCAACGGTTGGAGACTCTCAGCAGGTTGGAGAAGGGACTCCCGCCTAAGTCGCGTATTGCCTTCCTTCGGTTAGGCGGCCAGGCTAGCACCTGGGCACCGCGTCCTCGCCATAGCGCCATAGCGTCATAGCTCCTCCTCCTCCCCCTCCTCCTCCTCCTTCTCCTCCTCCCCATGTCCCTCCCTCCTTACCCCCCCTTCTTCCATGCTCTTCATCGCTCCTGGAGGGATGGGTGCCGGCGGGGGGGCACGTGCCGCAACGGTTTCTGGTGGCCGCCCATGACCAGGAACGACAGAGTGTCCTCACGGGCGGCCTCTGCGACGTGGGCGAGGATCAGGACAGCCAGGGTCTGTCGACGCGGTACGGAGAAGGAGGAAGGGGAGGAACAGCGCATCTGACTGAAAGGAGGAGGCGGAGCAGGAGGAAGAGGAGGAAGAAAAGGAGGAGGAGGAGGAGGAGGAGAGGAGGAGGAGGAGGAGAAGGAGGGAGGAGGAGGAGGAGGAGGAGGAGGAGGAGGAGGGGGAGGAGCGGGAGGAGGAGGACGAGGAATGAGGAAGACGAGGGGGAGGATGAAGATAATCCAGCTCTTTGGGCAGTTTTGGTGGGTTGATCTCGCGGCCGACGACGCCGCCGTCGCCGTCGCCTACGACTTCGCATGTGTCTGTAGTGTATAGGAGGAGGAGGAGGAGGACGAAGAGGAGGGAGGAGAGGAGGAGGAGGAGGAGGAGGGAGGAAGAGAGGAGGAGGACGAGGAGAGGAGGAGGGGAGGAGGAGGAGAGGAAGAGGAGACGAGGGGGAGGATGAAGATAATCCAGCTCTTTGGACAGTTCTGATGGGTCGATCTCGCGGCCGACGCCACCGCCGTCGCCGTCGCCTACGACTTCGCATGTGTCTGCAGTGTAAAGGCCCTGGCTGGTGCACTCCTTTCCTCGGGAACGGCCGCCGTTCGCGTGTCGCTCCTGGACGAGATGCCTCGCTTGAGAGGCGGTGGGGACTGCGCCGGCTCCCGACCAGAGAGTTCAGCTGGCCAGACCTGCGGCCCGCCGGATAAGGATAAGCGCATCGGGGGTGTGCTCCGAGCAGCAAGCCTCGATAGGGCTTGATCGCCAAAATATGTGCCCCTGCGAAGAACATGGAGGGCCGGCCAGACAGCTCGCTGTCTTGGCCTGCCTGGGGTGCCTCGCAGGCCGTCCACCCACCTCCCTCCCCTCCCCCAGCACCCCTGGCGCGCCAGGGACACCACTGCAGGGAGCACTGTCGCTATCTGCCAGGGACCAGGGGTCAGTGGCGAGGCACCGCTGGCCGCGTGCCAGGGCTGGCGAACGGGCCTTCGCAAGGAGGGTGAACCCTGCGCCTCTCATTTTTCCCGAAAAGGCTCTTATCTCTCCGCGGGGGGATCCGCAGCCCCGAGGACAGGGCGAGGGCGGGCGGGGAACCGAACAGAGAGGGAGAGGAGAAGCCAAGGAGCCAACCGAGTGGAGGCCCCCGACCAGGGGGAGGAGAGGAGGGGAAGCCCAGGGGAGCCGCTGAAGGCAACAGCCACAAGACAAGGGGATGGTAACAGACGTATTTTCCTTCCGACGCGCCAAAAGCGCGCCGAGACACAATCCCGAAGACAAGAAAGAATCATTCTGCACCCGAAGAGTACATGACATTGCAGCAAAGTTTTGATAACTAGACAGGCATGCCTTTGCTAACAAACATTTGCACAAGCTGATATTTCTTTTTCATCGGGTTGGCAGTCGCTGAGAACAACGTTTTCTCGAAGAAACCAATCTATGCCCAATCGTTGATCCCTCTCAACGGCTCGCTTTCGCAGCAGTCCATCTGAATCTCCTTCATCATATCCCGCACCGAAAGTTGCCGCCCTCCTTCAAACAAGCTGAATATTGAAGCGAATAGTCAATCAGTTTTGTGTCTGGTTTGTTTTGCCACAGATCAGAAATGATCCAATTTAAGTTTATGCGCAAGCGTTAGGTCTGTCCTCTTGGAAAGCTCACGTAACCGTATGATGATATTATCCAACTCATCTGGATTGTGTGCAATGCCGGCTTCCACGTCTGGCTGCAAGCTCTCGAGTAGCAGAGACAGTGCATCTGCAGCCTTTTCCAAATTTCGTTGATCCCCGAAATCGCTTCACTCGCCAATGTTTTCTAATAGTGTCTTGAACTCTTCAAGGCTTCCTATGCGAACATGTTGAATTAAATCTGCAAAATGCTGCGTGGCGAGGTCAGGCTCCTTCGGCTTTGTATGTCCTTGCTGCAGTGCTCGCGAGAGGGCGTCTCTCGCTCAGAACCAGACGCGGCCGTCTCATCGAAATCTGATCCATTTTTATGCTTCGTTTCATGGGAACCATCGCAATCGGCGGACCGACTCTCAAAGACGCTGCGTGCGTGAATCCACGTTCCCACTGAAGGCAGACACCGAAAGGGAAGAGTACGACGCGATTCCGAAAACCTCTCCGGCTGCGGCAGCCTGGCGTTTGCCGCAGCGTGCGGCGCACCCCTCGCACGCCACCGTGCCACGGCTTCCGCCGGGGGGCCCCGGCGGCGCCGCCCGGGTGCGGGGCCTGGCACCGCAGGGTGCGGCTGTGAGTGTAAACTACATCGAGTCGGCGGTGCTCAGGGAAGGTTGCTGCTGTCGGTCGCCACGGCCGCCTCGGGGGGGATCCCTCCTTCCAACAACGCCTCGCCAGCCGTCTCTGTATGGTGTTCTGCAGCAACCACCACGCCCCCCAACCCAGGATGACAAGAGAGATTAACCTCAGCCAGAATCTGTAGGCTAGCACGTTGACTAATTCGAGCATGTGTGGCACGAGTGCGTAGCCTACGCCGCGCGCCTGCAGAGGTCGCACACGAGGGCGGCACACTGCAGAGATCCATATGTATAATGAAGGTGCGAAAGAAGTCTGGTACGGTATCGAAAGGGCCTGAGGGGTGTCGTTGCCTCAGACTCTTCTATCTCCTCCTCTTCCTCCTCCCTTGGTCAAGGCAGGTGGCTGACTGCCGGGGAGTCCGCAAGTCTGTTTGCCAGCTGAGGGCAGGCCGCGGCCCCTCGATCGCTGCAAACGGCGGCTAGGAGGAGGAGGAGGAGGAGGAGGAGGAGGAGGAGGAGGAGGAGGATGTGAGGAATCACATGATGTCTGTCACACGTGTGTGCTTGCATGTGTGTGCTGTTCATGACCGTTATGGTTCCAGGTCGCCTCCTAAGCTTTCCACTTGCGCCCGTGTGCTGACAAACCATCCGTCACCACTCGATGTTGCTGCCGATGTTGGGTGTCAGTGGTAGTGGAGCCCGTGGTCAGACCGCGAGCTTGGCTGCTGGCGCGACCAGATGTCGAAAAGCAGCTGGAACAGCCAATGAGGTATTGGTGCGAGGTGGAGACCGGCATATGACGGTGGACGTCAGAGCAGCTATTGCGGCGACGTTTTTTTTGAGCGGCAGAAGGCCGAGCTGATACATGATTGATGAGCGCAGCCGTCACCAGTTCCAGGAACTGAAGGACGAGCTGAGCCGCCTGACGCCGCCAGGCGGGTGAGCAAACGTAGCGCAGGAGACGGAGTTCCAGAAACGCCTGCGCCAGAAGCAGAGGGTGCGGACCGACAAGCTCGCAGCGACCCGTGGGCCGTTCGTCAGGAGCCGTCGTGGAGGGCATTGGCTGGTGGGAGCGACCTGGTAGCTCATGGGGAGCTACGCGCGAGGCCTGGTGCGAGTCCGCGACCGGCGAAAGCCACATGGACGAGAAGAGGTACGAGGACGTGCAGGGCGGGGCATGGCAGGATACTCTTTTGAGGTCTGGCCCGTAGTGCTCTCTGGCTGAGCTGAGAAGTTTTGGCGCAGGCCAGACTACTCTGACCCCGACCTTTGGATGGGGTTGGGGGATTTCTGCAGGTGGAGGGGGAGGATCTGGAGATGGCCGGCCGCAACCGACGTGATGGAGTCGAAGAGGTCCGACCGCATTTTGTTGGCCCTCGACTTGGACCTCCAGCGGAAAGTGGAGGACGTCAGTGACAGCATTTCGATGTCTTGCGCGGGCCTGGGTGCCATGAAGTGTTTGTACGTCATGAGTGGGAAGAGGGCCGACGACGAGGACAGGCGTGCTGCGCGGGTGTGCCTCTCCGGGCACCAGCGCAGGAATGGAGAGAGTCTGTCCACGCGCGCAGCCCGCCAGGAGCGGCAGTTTGATGTCCTGACGTCGCAGGGACTTCCTCTGCCCGACATGCGGATGCATCTTTTCATGGAAGAGGGAGTGAAGCCCGACGGTGCTGGCCGCCAGATGGTTCACGTTTTTGCCCGCAAGTCAGGAAAGTGCGGCGACCTGCAGAAGTACTATTCGAGAGCTGGACTTGTCCGAGACAGAGAGCATATCTGGTAGTAGCAAGGCGGCCCGGTCGTATTCCGTCGGGGGCGCCGAGGGCTCTTTTTTCGGAGATGAAGAGGCCGAGTCAGATGCCTTGTAGACACAGATCTGGAGAACGAGATCCAGACGTGCAAGATTGCAGGAACCTGAAGCGGCAGGCGAATGTGGGCAGGAAGTTCTATCCTCCTCCTCGGGCCACGGTTGGAGGCCGCCCGGACAGGCGCCCCGCTGGGGCCAGCGAGGGGCGACGGGGGCGGGGGGCGGCGCAGGCGGCCGACGTTTCCGTCCGAGGCGCGAGCAGCTGATGAAGGTGACCAAGTGCAAGAAGTGCCGCGAGAAGGGCCAGTGGTCCCGAGGGGGCCCAGAGAAGATGCCTGGACCTGCCGCTTTCGCGCATCTGAGCGGATCGACGTCGGCTGGCTCGAGCCTGGCGCTGGTCGCGCTCAGCGACGCGCGCGGTCCAGCGCCGCGAGGGCACGCCGAGGGGCGTGGCGAGCAGCGGCGCGGGCAGGGGCGCGACGAGCAGCGGCTTGGACAATGGCGGGGGGATGGGCGTCTTCTTGACCGCCGAGGGCGGCCAGATCATCGTGGGCGCCGCGGCTGCGCAGGGCCCCGTGGGCCAGGGATTTCATGCCAAGCTGGGGAAGAGGCTCAACCTGGCCTGCCGCGTCTTCTGCGTCGAGAACAGCGGCGCCGCAGCGCGCGGCGCGGGGGGCCTCGCCCCAGTCACTTCGGGCCTCCTGGTGCCGATTGGCCTGGAGGGCTGCGAGGAAGTGATGGAGATCGACCCGGTGAATCAGGATCTGCCGGCGTTGATGCCAGTTGGCGCGCAGGAGATGCCGGGGGCCGTCGTCAATTTGCCGCGCGGACGCGTTCAATTCAGTCACTTTGGAGTGGGGGTTCCTGGAGAAGTTGACAGGCGGCCATCGCGTCGGGAATATCGACCGGCTCGGGCCCCTAGGGGATTTTGCAGCGCC